ATAACAGAATGGATGATTCTGGAATGAGGCAGACCTGTGTTTGAAACTGAGCTGTCTAATTTTGGGCAATTCATATAAGTTACAGTTCTTTTCTTACCATTCTTTAGTGATCTACAAGATGAGAATTATTATTCCTTTCATAAATGAAATAATGAGTATCTATCACCTAAATGACATCTATCTACATGCTACATGATATATCTCTTTAGTTTTAGGAATGTCTAGGGTTCCCTCCAAGATACTCCAAGATTTAGATTTATATAGAAATGAAGCAACTTTATTTCAGAATGGAGATCAAGATGTTCTCTAATCAGTGTTAACCTAAGACATTGGGTGCATGTGACTGGAAGGAGGGTCAGTAGGGCATATCACATCCTTCCCAGACTCCCTGTGTTCCTGTGTGAACACTCTCTTTCTCAAGTAAGAACCTGGATAGCTGAGTAGTAGGAATGCCAGCTCATACCTGAAATCCCTAACACATTTGAATTATCACCTTCTTGAGTATAAGGTCCTTTCTTATCATCTGAATGGCCATCTTAAGTGACAGCCGCCATTTTAAGGAAAAAAAGTTTCTCTTTCCTGCCCAAATTTCTGAGAAAGGCTTACCACTCCCTCATACCAACCCAACACCTAACCACCCACATTAGGACCCGCCCAGCTCTGATTCCTGAGTCTGTCCCATAAAAGTCCCGGAACCCAAGCCTGTTTTGCCTCTCTCCGCTATAGAGAAATGGCCTTTATTTGTCAGTTCTGACAAATAAACTCTCGTGTGTATCTCTGCCTGGTCTCTGTCTTTCATTTCTCACTTACCTGTCTCTTGTCCCTCACAGCTTTTGCAGTGGCTTTCCCACTCAATAGCTAATAGCCACATGTGGCTGCTAAGGTTTAAATTAAATAGAATTAAAATGAAAAAATCCAGTTTTTTTTAAGTCACATGCACCATATTTCAACTGCCAATAGCTGCATGTTGCTAGAGGATGTTTTGTATCAGAAAGCCCAGATATAGAACAATTTTTATCAAAGCTGAAGCTTCTGTTGGTCTTTACTGCTTCAAAATGTAACTGCCCACTTGCCCACTTAGTAGGTGTATTAACTTCATGAAATTACTTCTCTCAGTTTCTTGATGCTAAATGAACAAAAAGATGAAAGCACTTAAAACAAGGCCAGTGGGCTGGAGGTGTAGCTCAAGGGTAGAGCACTTGTCTAGTATGCACAAGGCCCCGGATTCAATCCCCAGCACTGCAAGAAAACAAAAGAAACACAAAAGTAAGGTAAGCACATATTACTTATCATTATGGCTAAAAATGCTTTTTGTATTGGAATGCTGTCTTCATTGAAAGCCTAGGTCCTTGACCATGTGTAATGTGTGTGTGTGTGTGTGTGTGTGTGTGTGTGTATGTATGTGTGTGTGTGTGTGTGTCTGTGTCTGTGTAGTTTTTCCTTCATGGTACAATGATACAATGATAAGATGGTAACTCAAGGATAACTATTTTGAGTCTGCAAAATCTAACACTACCTCCTACCTTCAAATCTTGAGACACGTTATTCCTAGAATTGAATGTTGATATTTTACAGTAGGACATAGAACTCAAAACACAGTCTCCCTGGGAGTGGAGATATGCAAGATGTACTTAGTGAATCACACCACTCGCCACTTGACCTTCCAGAGCTGGACATTTGGCTGTTAATGAGCAAGATCGGTGAAGACACAGATTTCTTTCAGCTTTTACTGGCAATTCAAGTGAAGGGCCCCAGCCCCCTGCCGTCACAGCTTCTGTTGGGGCACGGAAGCCAGCAGTTGTTCAGGTGATCCCTCGCTTTGCGCCCATTGGATCTTTCTTACTTTTTCTCTCTTAATTTTTCACAAAATTGCTGGACCTTTTCATTTTGCCTTGGAGAATATGACCTGATCATTTAGATATTTAGGCATCTTTGGTAGAAATTTTTTATTTTAAAATACTTTTTTCATGAACATGATTTTTAATGAAATGAAAAATGTATCACTATTAAACATCCTATTTTTGTTTTTCTGAAATTAAATTTTATTCATATCATATGGTATTTATTATACTTGGATTTCAATAAATTAACAAAACTTGAAATCTTCTCAAAGTATAAACATGCCGGGGACCAATTGCTGACTCTGAAATATATCGCAGGCATGCACTTAGTGAATGGAGAGAAAATCTGTTGGTTAAATTTGTTTTTATGACCAGCATTATTTTGGAAGGTGACCCTAGTTTTTGCTAAGCAATAGGCATACATATATAAAGTAATCCACAGAGAGTTCTAGAAAATCAAAAGTCAGCACCTTATCTTTGTTAATCTTCAGGCACATTTCAATGCCAAATAAAATAACTTCTGTCATTTCCTTTGGTACTATCATGGCCAACCCTGATTTATTTACTGCCTGTAGAGTACAGGTAACCCTGTTTCTCCCAACTCAGAAAGCACGGGGAACTCATCATGCACTGTATGAAGCCAAGCAGCCCCTGGGTGTGTGGGTGGGGGATCTACTGTGATAAGGTACATGCAACTGTGTTTAGTGATATATTCTAAATTACCAACCACCTTAGCTATCTAGGGCAGAAATGGGCTCTGTGTTGCTTGTGTTATTCGGAACTTATTCAGCCCTAGAAAATTCCACTGTAAATTGTTGTGATCATAATGCAGATCTAAGTGAGAGAAACATAAATGACTGAGAACTGTTCTCTGAGAAAATCTGGAAAGAGAGTTGGGGTGTTTTTCTGTTTTATCCTTGGTTCTTCAATGAACCCCATGTGGCGCTTTGAAAACTTTATGTAACTTCCCTGAACCCTAGACTTTGAAGACACTTGTGAATGACAAGTTAGTGTAAAAATCTCTAATTGTTTCCCAAGAAGGCTGCCATCATGCTACTAAGTAAATACTATTGCTAAATAATTCCACAAAAAATGTTGGCTAATTTTTTTCTCAAAAAGAAAAAGAATGTTGTTAAGGTTTGCATTTTTAAAAATTATCAGAGAGAATTTATGATGATAATTGGGTTTTCAAATAAATCACAAAATTTTGTATCTCTAGCATTCAGTGCAGATAATGAGATGTCCTTTCAAATATATACTTCCTACTTCTAATATCCCTGATCCACCTTTCAAAGTCCTCAAACTTCCTCTTCCACTATCTGCAGTTCCCCAGGGATTTCATTTACTTCAGCACTCTCTGCATGACCAGCACTGGCAAACCAAACTCCTGCCTTTCGTTGTGAACTGCTAAGGGCAGCTCATTTCTTTACCTGCATATTGTACAAATTCACTGTCTTTTGTGGGTTAATCACCCCCCTCTCCTTCTGTTGCCCACCTTAAAAATTCATCATGTATTTCACCCACAATACCAAGGCACTCTAGCTATTATCGGTTCCTCTTTGTTTAGTGAAACTGTTACTTCTTTCTGCAGTCCTGCTGCATCTGTTGTTGCTGTTTTTATGTCCATGAAAATGATGTCACTTTGTCATTCTCCTAGCTGGCCACCCTGCTTCCAATCTCTCTCCCTCTTACCCATTACCTTCAGAATGCCACATGGTGGGGGTTTTCCCCTAAAGGATAATAATTATAATAACATCAACAACCAGAGCAAAGTCACTCTCTTCTCTCAATCCTTTCTTGGCTCCCCATTTATTACAGGCTGGATTGGGAAACTGGAGTTTGCTGTTCCTTTCTACCTTAATCATGTACCATCAAGTCATATGCCCTGGGAGCCAGCTCCATTTGTTTTTGTTTTGTTTTGTTTTTGCATTTACATATTTCACAAATTCTGGGTCATTTAACATGTGCATTCCCACCTCTTTTATTTAATGCCCTCCCCACTAGAAAATAGACTCCATGAAGGCAAGGACTTTATCTGTTTTGTTCAGTACTATACACCGAGAATGCAGGACACTGTCCTAAGGTAGGTGATGGAAATTTGGGTTGATTTAGTTAGCTAATGTATTGTTCTGAGGCTGTGTTCCATGACTCCAGAATGAAGCCTCCTTCTTCCCATTCTCAACAGGATGAATGTAATTACAAAAGGCCGAATGTACAATTACCTCAGCACTAACATTGTATTATACACATGAGCTCATGTATGTGTCTCTCATATTTACTTGAGCTCCATGATTGCAGGAATATTCCTGGGTGATTCTAAGAGCCCAGTATCTATTGGTTCATAGCAGGCACTCAAAACTTTTTATGAATGAATGAGTGAATTCATGAGTGATGAATTAGACAAAGGAGGAAGGGCGAGTTCCTGTGGCTGGGGATCACAGACACACACGTGTCAATGACGACTAAGACACAAACTGCCCTAAATCTTCAAGGATTCTTCTTGTTAAGAGATACTAGGCAGGCTGGTTGTGTTGACCTTTAATTCACCTTTGTAAAACATAGTTTAAAAAGTCAGTCTGACTCATAAAATGATATAGGTAAGTTGTAAATCTACAGATTTGAGATTTTGACCTTTAATGAGCTTCTGCTTTTATAAAGAAAAGGATTCTATTCTTCATAATAAAAGAAAGGTGATGTGTGGTTACTTTATGGTATATTTCAGGGTCGTTTTTGTTTTTACTTTAGTCACTCTAGCAGAAAAGCAAAAAATAAATAAATAAGAAAGAAAGAAAAAGAGAAAAAAGAAAAAGAAAAGGCAAGTTTTATCCATGTCATTTCTGATAAATCTTCATGCTGAGCGACAGAAAGGAAAACAATTTGCTTTATTCTGATGTGGTGTGTGCAGCTCAGGCCTAGGCTTAGGATAGGTGTATCCATTCCCAGAGCCCTCACTTTGGTGACCACTATCTGTAATACTCAGATGACCAATGGAAGCCAATGATTGTCCTCTCACTTGTTAAAAGCATTCATACTCAGCATGCCACAGGGTGGGTGGAGCCAAGCAATGAAAAGCACAGATGGTATGTCAGCAGCATCAAAATTCCTTTAGAAACAAAATCGAGAAATTAAAATGTAAAACACATAAGAATTAGACACCTCAAGCATGTAATTGTACATTTATTTCTCTTTTTAAAGAACACTCCTTAATGTAATTCAATATACAAACTTGGTTTCACAGAATTATAATCCACTATGTAGCACAAAGGTAACCCAGATTGTGTGTGTGCGTGCACACACGCGTGCGTGTGGGTGCACATGTTGCTGTACCCCCTCCCTCCTCTCTGTTCTTTGGGACCTACAAAGGCTCTTCCCATCTTCAACACTAATCAAAACCATTCTGAATGTTCTATACAAAAGATATCATCCCCCCTCAGGTCATTTTCCCTTGAAATCTTTTTTTCAACGTTCCCCCTGAGATAGCCAGGAGTGTGACACTTTTCCCCTACACAAAGGGGAAGGTGACTTCCCCTAATGCAGATAGATGTTAACCCTGTTACCTTGTGGTCAGGCTGACGGGAAGAGATGGGGAGAGGTCTCCACCCCCTTCCCAGCTTCCGCATCGATTCCTGGGCGTCCAAGTGTGGCCCCTCTGTGTAGCCTTAGTTCAGTCACCATCCTGTGCAGCAAGGACCAGGGAGATCTCTAAGCCCAGGTCTTCTCCAAGGGCAGCGCACAGCACTGCCTGCCAAGCCACCGGGCCGGCCGATAACCAAGCTCTACACAGTCCCATGTGCTTTGTCACTTTAATTTTTAAAGACACCCTAGCATAGGTCTGTGGCAACCTAGTGTCCAACTGAGTTACATAAAATTGTACCAGTGATGCACTTGTACATATTTACATGGGTCGGAATGTTTTCCCATATTTTTAGATGAGTATATAGATCAACATGTTCACATAAGACCAAATACTTTTAATATTATTTATAACTGTTTTATAAAGCTTTGAAAAAACTCACAATAGCACATTGTTTACTTTAATGCTTTACGGTACTATCAGTTTAAAATCACAATCAGCACTTAAGTTATAGTCAATCCGGCAAACAAGAGACAAAAAAAATTTACAAGAGTTAAGAACTGACTGATACATCCTTTATCTTTTTTTGTAACTAATGCATAAGTGCAGAATAAGGTACTCTAGTTTAAATATCTTGTTTACAATGTACATTGTTGTTCTAATTACGCAACAGTAAATCCCATGCTTCACATAGAAAAGCAATCCACAACATTAAGAAAAAATGTACAATTTATGAAACAAAGTAAATAAATATTAGTATTACAGAATCAGAGCTGTACATAAAAGCTGTTCAGTTTTTATCATATAAAAATATGTTTTAGTGCAACCTCACATATATATTGATGCTGTTTTGCTTTACATCATTTAGATCCAAGTGTCCAAAAAAGGAAAGAAATTACATTTATTACAACGCAGATACACAAATTCTAAAATATGTACAAATTACTGCTAAAAAATGCTTATAAGAATATAAGCAAAGTAAAGAAAAGGCACAAACATCTGTACAATTTTAAAAGTACCAGACCCAATAGGTTAATTTCAAATTTTGTTTTGGTCAGGCTCATGATGACTTGGTAATTTACCTAATTCTTTTGAAATAACAAAAGTATATATAATAGCAAACTACCGTAACTTAGGACAGGCATGCTATAAACTCGATTACTTCTATTTCTAGAAAAACGAAAACAAAAACAATAAAAGGGGGGCCATGTGAAAATGAAAGTCTCCATGCATCTTAGATCAATGTAGCTGACTCTTCCCTGATGAAGGCTTGTGGCCTTCCTCTGTGCTTGAAGAGAACTCCTTGCTGCTGTGGAAGTCCAACCGTTTCTCATCCACAGGACTCTGGCTGTGAAACGTGGAGTGAGCCAATGCAGTCTGTGATGTACCAAAATTGTCCTTTTCACCATCATGCAAGTCAGGGTGGGCAGCTGAGGTACAGGGCTGACCTGGCTCAGGCCCGCTAAAGTGTCTAATGCCAACATGTGCACTTTCCAAGGGTTTTTGGAGGGGTTCCTGCACCCGGGCTGGCTGGTCAGCCCCAAGCAGAGCAGCCTCTTCGGTGGCAATCCGGAGAGAGGCAATGGCTTTTGTACAAGTCTGTATGTTCTCCTCCTGTTCCCGCTCTGTTGCATTCAGGCTGTCTTCCGAAGTGCTCTGTTTCATCAGTAGCCGAGGCGAGGAGGGAGTGCTCGGTAGACCAGATGACTGCAAAACGTGAGGCGCGTGCTTCTCCTGCTGCCTGGAGAGAGCATAGGGATCCTTGGGAAAGGGCTCCCCAGGCGCCCCTTTCTTCTCCTCAGGACCCTCCATTGGCAGAGGCAATGTAGGTGGAGGATGTAAACCAGAAAGGGCCGGCGGTATGGAGTGAACCATTTGGATCCCACCAACTGGCACCATGGGGATAGGAGCTCGCACTTGCTGCTGAGAGTGGAGTGGAAGATGACTGAAGACATAGTCAGTAGGACCCTCAGGGAAAAGGCTGGAGCCTTGATGTTCATAAGCACCTTCTTGGTCTCCATAGAGACTGAAGTAAGGAACCTGAGGTAATCCTCTTCTTAAGTTCTGCACAGGAAAACAAAGAACATACAATTCACATGCAACCACTCTCCTTTCTTGGGTCAAGCCTATACTTCTTTAACTCATGCCCAGGCCACAATGCACTACACGTTTATCAAATTCTCATTTTTCAAAACAAAACAGATTTCTCCTTTCTGGTCCCTGAATGAAGGTGTCAGCCTGTGAAAAGTTACTTTTGTTTTTCAACAGCAAGGTGATGAAGTATTCAGTATTTTCCATTGGGAACAGAGACACATTTTAGCTCTGTTTTCTTCATAAGAGAGAATAAAAAAATAATGGATAGTCACCAGAAAAAAAAAATTACCAAGCCAAAAACAAAAACGAAAACAAAAAACTAATAACCGTTTTAAATTCAATAGGAAATTTTTTAAAAAGTGCCATCTGTTTATATAGTGGGCTGATTTTTAAGATTTCTTTTAGGGTTGATGTGTATAATTAAGAGTGACAAGCTGAAAATTGGCTTTTTTTTTTTTAAATTTCTCTCAGAAAGGATAACAAGCCGATGGGAAAGACTCAGACTACTTCCTCCAGTGAGCAAGGTGTTGGTCTAAAGCACTAATTTCCTGCTCAAGAGATATTCAGTGTAGAAGACCAGCCTCTGCAAAAAATACCCTTCTCAAATCAAGGCTATTTAAATCTTACATCAATGTCAATTCTGTAAGGAAACTACACATCCAAGAAGTTGTTAACCCTAACTATTTTAGACAGTTAAGTATCTATACTCAAACACATAGCTAGGAACCAAAGATGATTGTGTCTTAAATCCTTTGTTGATGTTATTTTCACTTAAATGTCTTTAGTGAACTAAAGACATTTAAAACTTAGGTACAAAATTCCATATTTCCTCTTCACAGTCCTGAAAATGAAGAATTTATTTTCTAAATAAGTTTCTGTACCCAAATACAGCTCTGACTGTCCTATTATCGGGTTTTGATGAGATTATCAGATTTTAATTACTATGATTCATTCTGTTAATGGACTATCATTTAAAAGGGAGCTCCACTGTTTGTTTTGAGAACTGAAGATAGAAATAAACCTATCAAGTGTGGTAGTAATGCAGGAGAGAGATCAAAAAAATTCTAATTCATTTCAAGGAAGCTTCAGTCTAAAACTCAAGGAATGCTCTGTACCACTAAGGACTCATCTCGTTCTATTTAGATTGTGAGACTGGCTCAGGAACCATAAATTATGCATTACCTCCACAACTCTGTGCCATGCTTGGCATTTAGTCTGCTGTCGGCTACACCTTATTCAAGCTAGAAACAAATGACTTCTTCTGGAAATGCAGGAGAAATGGTGTAATCATCAACCCTGTAATCACCAGGACCTCATAAGCTATGGAAAGTAGGAATTTTATAGTACAAGAAAGAATCATTTAAATGCAAATACACACAAAATCTCTCTTGCCTTTGCTCTGGTTTAGAAAAGGAGATGTCTCCTTCACCAAATGGCAGTTAAGGTAGAAGAAACATTCATACCTATGATAATAGTCTTTCAAGATAATGAAATAAATTTTCTTTTAATCACACTTTCCAAAGATTTAAAAGTCTAAAATAAATTGGAAAGTGGTTGTTTTTCCATTTTACTTTTGGCTGCTCTTCTGTGTCACCCACTGCACCTGCCTTGTCAGAGTGCAGAACTGGGGCCCTCGGGGAAGGGGCTGGCAGAGGACAGTGAGAGAGATGTGCCACTATGCCAAGCTATTTGAGATCCCCAACTCCAGGCTGACCAAGCGAGTGATGATCTGTCTTCTAAAACTAGAATGCATTCCGTATGTTCTAAATCCAATAAGATCTTTTCTTAATAATAAAAGTTTCCAATTCAGAGCTGCCCTGGTCAGAATTGAGATGATGGCAACCATAGAAGTGAGTGTACACATAGAATTTCCACCATGTCACCGTCTCCCTTGCTCCACGTGGTGTCCAGCACTTCCACACATCCTTCTCTTCCCATTTTACTCTCCTGTACCCTCCAAACAAATTAGCATAATGTATGTTTTTCTTTACTTTGGTTTTTACTCCATTTGCAATCCTATTAATTTGCAATTTAGACCTTATCACAATGTTGAGGGGAAAAAAAAAAAAAAAACATCCTATTTAAATCTCAAGAGGAAAAATCCTGTCAGGGAAAAAATGATTATTGAATTCAACTGTGGATGATGCTAAGGGTGTGTGTGTGTGCATACATTTATTAATGCATATTAGAGACCTAGAGTACACACAGCTTTATCACCATTTCCCATACACTCTCTCATTCATCTTTTCCACAGTGTGTCATCAGGGTCCCTCTGAAAGACTAGGAAAGAGATAGAAGAGCAAGTGCTTCCTTGGGGGCAGCAGTGAGCAGGAGAGTATCTCAAGCAAATGCAAAGGGAGAGGTGACTGATCTGCGGTCACTGGTGGTGGGGTGAGGGGTGCTGCAGGGAAGTGACCTTGACTTGAAACCTGCCAAGTGTCCTGAAGTGCTAACAGAAGGAGGCTGGCAGCTCACTTCATTCCTTACAGCTAAATGGAATGTTCTTCCTGGAATAGAAGTCGGCACAGTTCACCTCCCTGGCTGCCACAGACAGATGTATAACGGTGGCCAAGAGGCCAAGAGACTTGCCCAAGGTCACACAGACAATGAGAGAGACACTGGTTGATGACTCTTTCACTGGACACGATGTTCATCTGTATCACACACTTTTATTTTTCTCTCATTCTCCCTTCCTTATTTCCTTCTTTATTTTCTTCCTTCCTTCCTCATTTTTTTCTTTGTCATTTATCTACCAAAACTTGAGGATGGAAAAGAAAATGTTTTTGATTTAAAAAAAGAGTTAAGGTTAGAAACTACAACATTATTCCATCCTTGAGTCACACATGATAGATCCTCAAAAATATCTACTGAACGAATGTATAAAAGACTCTTCACTTTTACTCCCATTTCTCTAAAAATGAAAACTAACCAGAAGGAGTTAGGGCAATAATGGCAAGGTGGTAGGCATATCGGTGGCATGTATCATATGTCCTCTCAATCTGCCCCTGAGTCTGTAAGTCCAGACCAAGCAAGAATCAATATGACACACTGGGCTCCAAGATCCCTTCATGCCATAGTCACTGCCCCCTGAGGCTTCTAGCAATGTTAAGCAAAAGAAAAGGCATGGCTAACAGAATGTTCATTAAAGGGGATTATTTTTCTATTATCCATAGATATTTCATAATTATGAAAGAAGGTGAAGCCTTTATCTAACACAACAATCAGAAGAAATACTTCTCCCAGTACTGTCAGGTCTATTTTGCTCGGGCCACAGGAATCTTGTTCTCCTCTGTCCCTTAAAAAGGTGAGAAAACATAAAATGAGAAATTATGGGGATCACTATCTCTGCTTGATGGAGGATTCTCAGGTCTATTCCTTCATTGTAAAATATAATCTACACTTGCATAAATATATCAAAATATATTCTAGTATCATGTATAACCAAAAAAAAATTTTTTTAAGAAATTAGATGAGATCATGAGGGTGGGGCTTCCATGACTATATCGGTGGCTTTGTAAAAAGAAGAAGAGAGACCCAAGTTAGTAAGCATGCCCTATCTCACTGTGCACCATCCTCTGCCATGCTATGTTGCAGCAAGAAGGACCTCACCAGATGCTGAGCAGACCCTGGCACCTTGCCCTGGGACCTCTGTGCATCCAGAACCATGAGCCAAATAAACCTCTGTTCTTTGCAAATTACCTAGTCTGTGATATCTAGTCAGAGCAGCAGAAAATAGACTAAGACAGCTTACGAAATTGGAAGTCCTGTGTCCTTTTTGCCTGTCTTTTTAATATGATAGTTTTACCCTATAAACCCCCTTTTATTTGATTATATTCACTATCATGGCTTCCCTTGCCTGTTTTGTAAGCTTGGCTTTACATGCTTGTGACATCCAGTTACATCTCTGGTCCATGTCTCAAGGCTGATACCTCATAACCTTATGGATCCGAATCACTTTTCTCTCTTAATCTTCATCTCAATAAATGTATCACGAAACACACACACACACACACACACACACACACACAGAGCAGGCTATCCATCTCTAATGAGAATTAACTAGGCAATAGACCAAAACCTTCATCAATGGTCAAGTTTAACAATTCTACTTAATATTCAGGTGAGTTGATTAAAAAAAAATGAAGCAAGAGAAACAAATACTGAAAATCTGGGTCAAACTCAGCAACCAATAAAACAAGTCTCCTTCCAAAAACAACTTTTTGAGCACATATCTAAAAATCAGATGAATTCCCTTGGTCCATTCCTTCAATTCCTTTGCCTGAGTTGGTCATGGGTTGCCTTTAAAAAAAAAAAAATAATAACCACAGCATGCGTGCACTACCAGCTTGCTTTTTATGATGGAAATTCACTAAATATGCTCCACAGCCTTCCACAGGCATGGTCTCAATGCACCTGGCCAATGCTGGAAGAAGAGCAGCAGGGGATGGCAGGACAAAGCTCCTCTACTGCACCCTGCCAGCAGGATTGTGTCTCTATCAGAGACAGCATTTGACACCAGCCCCAGACCTGCCATCCCACAATGCAAGGGATTTACTGCTCTCTATTCATGCTGCATTGGCCAAAACTGAAGAAGATCCCTCCTTTCCACTCTTGCCAAGATACAAAACCTGTAGAAATGTAGCTCTTTTTCTTAGCTTGCTAATTTATGGGCTTGGCGAATAAATGACTTCCTGACGGCTGTGCATGTCTCTGCAGGATTTGTACCATGAAGAAGATGGCACCCAGGCTTTGAAAAGAGGTTGTTGAGGGGGCCTGGGGAGTGGAGTGAAGCAGGGAGCTTCCCTAGAGTTTAAAAATGACAACCTGAGCTTGTGTTATGATTCAGGGTGGCAGAAAGTGAAGACAGGGAGGAAACTGGCCACCAGGGCAGGGATGAGATGAGCCGGGGGTTGGCAGTGCTTCTACTGGCTGGGAAGAAGAGAGCTGATGCTCAGGAGAGAAATCCTGAGCCAAGAATACAACAAATAGTAGGGACCAGGAAACTAAAAATACGCTTAAAGCAAAAAAAAAAAAAAAAAAAAAAAAAAGTCTCTAAAGACACCATGACTCTGTCTATGCTAAGTTCATTTTCATATCCTTCACATAGCAGAAAGAGACATCACTGTCTGCCACGCCAGGGAACCAGGCAGAAGAGGGGTTTATCTATGCATTGCATTAAACCAGCTGCTGAAACGTAGTCTGTGACCCTTGCTGCTGTTCTTCAGTTTATAATAAGGGCCTGTGCTAGAAATCTCTCCCTTGGCTCTCCTGACTTCCCATTCTCTTGGATCTGCACTCTCACTCCAGTGCCTGACAAGTTTCACATGTCCACTCCCATTGTGCAAGGTAAGGAGTTTAATAGGAAAAAAAAAAAAAAAGTTTTGGAAACCAAGGATGATGATCAATCAGAGTCCTTACCTGGTGGAGAGTGCAGATCCCTGACACCTATAAGTCCCTGTGAGTGTCTGGCTATGCAGTCAACCATTCCAATGGCTTCACTTTTTTTTTTTTTTTTTTTAACTCATGAAAAGGTTTCAGCTCATGTCTGTAATTAGTCAAGCTTAGAAAGCCTTCAAAAGGCCTCACCCATTCCTGGCTAGAAATGCACTATTGCTCTGATGCAATACTGCACTTGGAGCAATGCCATAGTCAGATTCCTGACAACAGCTTGTGACAAAAATGTTTTCTGCTATTCTCAGCAATCAAGTCTACATCATGTTTTAATAAATGCCATACTAGCATGGCATCAGGAGGCTCCACTGTGCTACAACTTGTATACTAGGAAGAGAAAGCCAGATATACTTACAGGAGGCCCCAATACAATTGGCTCTGCTTGCAAATACTGCCCCATGGATAATGGCGGGTTATGATATAAAGCCCTTCTGGGAGATGGTGCTCTTATGGTGGTCATGTATCTTCTCTCTCTTCTGGGAGAGAGGTCTCTTCTTGCTGCGATGTCCTTCCCTGGAGACAGTGGCCTTCTGGGGGATAGATGCCTTCTTGGTGAAACATCTCTTTGGGACATCTCTCTCCTCAATGCAGCTTCCTTTCTTGGTGACAGATGCCTCATGGGTGACAGGTCTCTCCTAGGTGATAAATGTCTTCTGGGTGACAAATCTCCTTTGGGTATCAGATACCTCTTTGGTGAGTTATCTCGACAGGGGGAAGAATCATAGCCTGGTGAGGAATGGCGGCTGGAAGGAGAGAAGTCCCTTGGGGAGGAGCTTGGCTCTGAGGACAGCATGCACTCCTCGTCCATAGAACTGGGGATGTCCAGCCTATCCTTGTCTGCTTCTGAGTCTGTTCTTTTGCTCTGGAATAGCCTCTGATATTCTGTCATCTGAGTATCTTCACAAGAGTCACTGGGTGTCATGAGTTGAGTCACCTGAATACTTGGCAAAGTAACCAAATAGCTGATCAGTGAAGAATGCCCCAGGGAGCTATCGGAAGGCACCCCATGGGGTACTGCGCCAACATTCACAGGCAAGGAGGAGAATCGAGGAGGCTGAGGACTGGTGCTTCTTGATCTTGTTTTCGGTGTCAAATCTCCCTGGTCATCGAAGTCATCATCATCATCGTCGTCGTCATCATTATCATCTCCATCCTCACCATCCGATTCCTCGGCATCTGAGAACTGGTGATCTGTTGAAATGCTGGACATGCTATGCTTCTCAGCCGCTTTGTGTAAATCTTCCATATTTTCTGAAACAATTAAACAAAGACATCAGAGACCAAGATCCACATGACAAAGTTAGAAGCTTATTTATCTCTTTCCAAAAGCTTTGCTTAGCTCTCTGGCCATCAGAGACAGTGATGTCTCTGCCCTCTTGTAACTCTCATGGGGTACTTTCTTGACCCTGCACCAGCTCTGGCATTTCTATGCAGCAGTTTGGTTTTATCCTCACCCTACAATCAGTACTCCTGAGTAGTATCTGCTCATAGAAAACCCTCAACAAATGGGTACAGATAAGTTGTTACTGATGATGCTCGAGGAAAAGAACAACCTGTCCCTCCAGATTCAGGTAAAAACTTTCAGACAATTGGTGCATCTCAGGAGGCTTCACCCACCCCCAAGTTCCCTACTGAGGTTAATGATGGATTTTTTTTTCTACTTGATTTTCTTTTAATGGAATAACAACACATTAAAATGCTTTTTGAATTTTCCCTAAAACATTATAACATTTAAATCGCTATCAAAAATCACCTGCAATATATGTCCTTCAGAAGTATGTATGTTCACAGTAGGGCCTTTGTCCCCCCCCATCAAGAGTCACAACTGAAATGCTTTTCTTTCTCCTCATCAGGTTTTAAGCAATTCAATATGTCAGATTTAGTGTCTATATTTAGTGTTTATTAAAATAAAAGGCAATCAGTTTTTAAAAATGTTTTTATTTTATCACCTCAGCCTTAGAGCATCGGTGAGCGCAGTGAGGGGGTCAGTTGGTCAAATTATGACATACCTGCTTCCTCAGTTTCTGTATCATCCACTGATGTCATTGAGACTCCCAACTCCAGGCATTTTTTCATGTGTGCTTTAGATTTCATATGTTTTGTTAGATTTCCTAAAACACACAGCAAAACAAAGAGAGAAATTGATCCATTACCTAAATGTGATGATCACTCCAAAATACAATGTGAAATGAACTTATTTGGGAAAACATAGATTTGTTTCTATCGATTGCCTCTTCAGAACAATTTCTGAAGATACCAGTCCCTGAAAGATTTGGCCCAATATCAGGTTTTGTTTATCTTAGAAGTACAGAAATCCAGGATCATGTCTTCCCAAGAGTAGCAAGACTGGGGATCTGAGGCTTTCCTGCCTGAGAAGGGACCTAACTTTTACCAAAAAGGCCAGGCTCCCAGGACTTCACATAGACATGTGACATAAGCTGAATCACACAGATGGGAAAAACCTCAGAAGGAAATACATTCGGCACACTCAATGGACTCCAGACCTTCTGGCACTGATGCGATATAGGTCAACCTTCAAGGATCCTCATCAGTCAAAGAAAAAATACACAAACTCTTATGCCAGTCAACCATGTATGTGGGTTCAAAGATACATAGACCTGCTTAGCTAACTCCTTATAGGGAGCATTATTGCTGGCATTTAGCATCATTCTGGCTGGCGTATGTTAGTGAACTTTGCATCAGCAGTTTCTGAACTTCTGAACTTCTGAACCCTTTTTATTTAGATTGAGATTTCCACCATCCTAAGAAAAAAGAAAGGTTTCGTGTTGAATATGTTATAAAGATCTACGTATAATTATATGTCTACATACTTATGTGTACATGTGTGTATATACATATCTCTATCACTCTCTCTGGACTTAAATAATTTCTATATGGAATATGAGAAAATTTGAAAAACACTTATCCAATCACCCTTGACCCAAGATCTATGGAAGACAAGGAACAAATACACACATACATATATATAATTATATGTCGTACAACTTATCAAAAAAGAATCCAGGAACCAATTCAGATATAAGGGGTCCACTTTGATGAAATTAGCTATATTATTATCTGTGCCTTTTGATAATGCTTTAGCAATGTACCAATGTATGTACTAATATATGTATGTAATGACAAATGCTTTATTTTTAAGAGTAGGTTCCCTGAAATCTAGGTGGAAACTATTTCACTTTGATGAAATAGTTTATCCCCATTATGGGCGTTTTTAGATTACTATTAATGTTAAAAGTCATAATTCTAAGCTGGGATACCACTGTTTACTATTTTACAATTTACCTGCTGCTTCTATATCTATGAATTTTATGTACAATTTTGATAACTCTAAACATAAATATTACCAGGCCCTCATTGCTCTTCTTATCAAAAACATTATAACGAGAAGTTTTAAAGAGCTCAAAACTTTAACAGACATTTCAATTCTTAAACCTGTAAATTAATTAACTCAATGGAAATCATCAGCATCTATCAGAGGCTAAGTATACCATGTATGTTTCTAAATATGGATGCTAATGTGGTGAGATAACTTACAGTCAGCCCTCTGCATCTGTGGATTCAACCACTCAAGTATCAAGGATATTTGAAAAAAATTGTATCTACAATAAACATGTATGAACTTTCTTCTTGTCACTATTCCCTAAACAATATAATAAAATAATAGTTTACATGGCATCTACATTGTATTAAGTATTATAAGTAACCTAGAAATGATTTGAAGTATACAGGAAGATGTGCATGAGTTATATGCAAATATTATATCATTTTAATTTTATGTAAGGGACTTGAGCATTATTGGAGGTTGGTACCTGTGGGGATCCTAGAATTAATCTCCCCAGGTGCTGAAGGATGACTGTATTTGATTTTAATGTGTCTTTTCTACTATATTTCCTCTCCAGGCATTCTAAGGAGGTAATTGAACTTTGGGCTCCCTTCTTCAGAGCAAGATTGCAGCTAAAATAAGAATCTGAAAGGATCCCAACCTGTCTTTGGTTTGCTGAACTTCTGAAGGAGTGGATCAGGGCAGGGAGGGGGAGAGAGTGGCAGAGGCAAGGAGAAGGAATTGTCCCAACAACTGGGTTTCATCTGTGTTCAGACAACAATGACAATGATGATGACATGGTTTGGAAAAACAGGCACTTCAGACAGAGCAAAAACTGGTGGGGTTTCCCAGGATGCTTTGCTCAACTCTAAGGTTCTGAGATGTTTGCACACTCTCAAAGGGTAAGAAAACTCCATTAATGACCAGGAATGAATAATTTCTTACTAAAACTCTGGGATCGAGGGTACAGAGCCAGATTTAATTTGATGTTTGGAAATATCTAGAAATGTGTCATTTCCTCCCCAATTTTCACACAACTAATGTATGCCTGCAACAACTCATATGCCCAACAAAGACATGTCATTTACAATGTCTAGTGAACTTGCAGTATGTCCCCAAATTAATGTTTTCATTTTCTAATCCCTGGGGGAATCTCTCAGTAAAGCTCTAAATAAAGGTTTGATTTTGCAAAGTTGGATACTATTTAAAGGATCTTATGTTTATTTATTTTGAAGTGTAAATGAATGATCTCCTTTTTGTTACCTTCAAATAAGACATACCTGAAGCTTAAATACATTTTTAATAAAGAAGAAACAAATATGTGGAGAGGCTATACATTTTCACTTATGCCAAATCAATAATAACAACTTAGGATTGGGGGCTGTAAGAGGATATGGTACATTTTATTTTATTTGATATTTATCTTTCTTGGTGGATATTGGAGAAGATAACTCAATAGGTAAATTTGAAGCATTAAGAAATTGTAAATGATATGAGGTTGATGGGGAGGGGGTGCATGCAAGAAAAGTTAGACCTAAAGTAAAACATATTTCCATATACAAAAATCAAGCAACCACAAATTTAAAAATGAAACTATAAATCAAGCAACCTTTAATCTGCTACTGTCTCTTTTTTGAGAACACCAGGCTTATACATATTTTCATGATTTTTTAAAATAATGGAAATACAACTGAAGCAATCTTCCTGAGTAAAACATGTTTATGTGAATCTACTTGTTAAAACAGATTTTTAAAAATTGAAATAAAAATATTATTTCAAGGCAAGTCCTAGTTTTCTGAGATGAAAAGTTGTGGCCTTAGAGTAAGAAATTGTCTCTGTGCTGATAAATATACAGAGTGGAAGCTATCAGATTTCTATGCATAATTAATGCAACTGATAGAGGGGCCCACCTGGGAGTCTGTGGATCTCTACATTATTTATAATCTTGAAACTGACCATGGGCACATGTTTTCTTTCCAGCTGCTGCTTTGCTTTTCAATTGCCTCTGCATGTATCATCTCCCTGCATAATTTCAATACTGGTGTGAGTATTATCTAGACCACATAACATTTCCAGCATGAAGTAATAGCTACCCAGGCAATTCTTAGCCACTTCCTTCAGAGACAACCAGCCTGGACCTGAGTCTAAAGCTCTTAATTAGTCATAAAAGGAGCCTCACAGTCTCACATGCATCCTCTGATCACCAACAGGAGGGACAAAATACATTTCATGCAGTCATATTTTCACAAAGCCATCTTACTCTTGATAAATGGGAGTTACAAAACAGTATTCAGAGTCCTAAGCCATCATCAGAAAAGTATTTCTTCCTCCCCACAAAATCAGATTTGTACCTTTCGTTTTGAAGGCAAAGTTACATAACTTGCATACGTAAGGCCGAACATCAGTATGAGTGCGGATGTGTTTTTTGAGCATGCTTGGCTTCTTACAGCGAATCCCACATTCCTCACAAATATACTTTCCACGTCCACGTCCTCTGACATATACATAATCTTCATTTGACTTATACCTGTTTACAAAAGGAGAATTCAGTGTATTCAAATACTCTTAGCATGTTATATATCAAACTAAAAGATAAGCACTACATGGAAAACTTTTATTGAGGGTATTTTACAATTATTCAATTTTACTTCTACAAAGCCTGGGAAATGTATGCAGTAAAATACCTGGAAGAACTTGATAATAGATTCAGCACTATAAACAAATATAATTCTATATGGAATTCAAAATGGAATTTGCTCTGCTATTAAATGTTAATTTATAGACACAGGGTCTATAAATTTGGGGGCTTCCAGAAGCCCCAAAGAGGTGCAGACCTGTGCATCATTGCTTTGCATTTTAGTATAGCCTTCAGTCAAGGAACATCCAAAAAGCATATGAATATAGTAGAATCATCATGCATCTTGAGTTAACATTACATCATGTAAAATGTACATATGCACACATGGCTTTACATTTGCTAAAAGAAGTATAACTGATAATAGAATTCTTCATTGCAAGATTCTACTCTATTTTTACAATCCTGGCACCAGAGTGCATCAGAAATCTCTAGTGTACATAGGCTGAGCTCAGCTCACCAACTGTTGTCTGCAGATTTGATCTGCTCTTCCCAGGGACCATGAAACTGTACTAACGTGGAGTCTAAATTTCAACTGGCTTCTTGAAGGTACTGTTGCATAATGAAAACTAGAGATTCTATTTTTAATAAAATTTGCATGTATTTCCAGAAGGAATCACAGAGAGCTCTGAAAGGATATCTGAGGTCATCTATTTCAACCAAATCAGATAGGTGAACAGTCTTAGATATTTATTTGGATAATAAAGGGAAGAAACACATCCAATGCTCTACCATCCATTTTGTTTAGAACACAATAACACGATAGACTATAGAGAGCAGTTCTACTGAATAATTCAACAAACAGCATTACTTCTTAAATCACAGCTAGTTTAGAATTGTGGTTCTAATGTCATTATGCAAAGTTTTTTTTCCAGGTATTTTTTTTTAATTTCTAAAGGTAAATGGACATTCAAAATGCTTTATTCACTGTACATTTACTTAAAGGAACTAGATTTACAGTTTTATATAGTCTCACGAGGATTATAAACTGCCTATTTCATCCTAGCGAATCCATCAAGAGGAATAAAAGAGAGTTCAGCTTTAATTGTCCAATTCATTGAAAGATTTTTTAGGAAAAAAAATCCATTCACACCCTTAAATATCAACTTTGCTATGGATGTTATTTAATCTTAGTATTATGTACACTTTGATAAGCTTCAATTGAGGTAAGAGGTAATTAGAATAAAAAAATATGAATAATCAATTTTTATGCATTTTGTTCCTTACAAGAAATTGCATTTAAATTTGTTTTCAAAATTCTTAAAGTTTACCTGTTATTTCACATTGTATGTTGTAATAAAGTAGAACAAACCAAAAGATGCAAAATATCTTTCACCTTTCAATTTTACTACTTTCTGTCCCTAACTAGATGACATTGCTTAAGGGGTATAGAATAAAACAATTCAACAGAATTTTTCTTCAAGAAATGATACTTCAACCTTACTGTAATCATCATCATAGTTGATAAGAAATGCACTTTATCTCCAAATAATATAATTTATCTCCAAGATCTTAGTCGATTAACTTGCTTCCAGAATGCAATTACAGTAAAATTCTATATAACTGTATATTAGAAGGCTCTATATCAATAAAATATTTACCTTAAAATAGTTCTGTACGCCTTTGAATCTACTTGATAGGATATTTAATAGTTTTTGAAAAATAATTAAAATATATGTTTAACTAAATTATTTAACCCACCAATTAGGTAACATAAGAAACATATACACTTAGAAAATCTCGTCAGTAATATCTTTTTTTCCCCCTTTTAAGTTATCACCTTTGCAATCAAGAAATAAAGAGGTGGTAACACACTGTTTGAATTCCTGGTTACCACCAGATAGAAACTGGTTCACAGGTGAAGGAATGTAAGAACCTAGCCGATAACATGGGGCAAGGAAAGGAGGAGGAAAATATGGGACCAACCCACTTGGATCATGGAAACACAGCAATACAATGCTCACATACACCCTTCCACTGTGTCCTGGGTAGTGGAGGTGGGTTCCCAGCGCAGCCAGTAACTGTGACGGTGGCGCTAATCTAGTGATCTGAGGACAGTGTTTGGAAGAATACTGCTGCATATACATGTTGATTGAGGTTAAGGTACTTTAAAGTCTCTGAGGAAAAAGAAAATCTATACTTCTCTCATTTATGTTAAAAGATGAGGGCTCGTGAATACATTTAACTGTGGTTTTAGTAGTGAAAACATCAGCCATCCATATAGGGCAAAATCTAAGGAAGAATCAACTACAACAATCCATCTCCAACCTGGAAAAACCATGTGAGATACTGATGTTTTATCTCACTGAACAGTCAAATGCTTTACAGCCAAACAAATTATTTTGTCTTTCAAATATAATTGGAATGAACTCATGCTCACGAAAATATGTAAATTACAGATCTGTTGGAGAGATAAGGCTAATTACATCATAATCCACCATATGTGGTTGAAGTACTTCAAAATTTCTGAAAATTGAAAGCATAATTCTGGGTTTTCCCTTCATGGGACTGGACTGAATATATATACCTATCAGTATCTAAAACTAGATACTACATATATATGTACTTTTTCTTAATCATGAAGATAATAAAATCATTGAAACTTATTACTTGAGTTCAGTTGGTTTAGAACTCAACATTCAAAAAGAAATTCCTCAATACAGAGAAACTGTCACAGACCAGAGAAGATAGGGGACAACTGAATGTAGTGGCACCCTCACTTGGATCCCAGAACAGAAAAAAGACCCTGATAGAACTGGTGAAATCCCATGAAAGTCTGGAGCTTAGATAATATAGAAGAAAACAAATGAAATAGTTTCTAGGATTCTATGAGTGTACGCAGTTTCATTTTTGTAAGCACAGAATAAAAATGTCCATTAATAACACAAATGCCCCTAAAGCTAGCAAAGAATGTATGAACTTAAATGACACCAAGTGTCTGCCAATTTAGAAGATTTCATATTAAATTAGAGATGTGAAAATTGAAGACAAAGACTCAACCCATAAATATCAGGGATATGTCCATTAAAAACAAGCCCTGAAAGTGCTCACTGCCTATTTTCAGCCAGACTTCAGAAGTACAACTGGAAATGGGGCTGGCTTTGAGCTCCCACTCAGGGCAGATGCTATTTTTTGCATACATACAGGGCCCTTTGCTTTGACTTACAGCTGAACATTTTGCATTTGCACTTAGGTTTCCTTACCCTCCTTCAAAGATTTTAATTCGGATTGGCTCAGTTTGCTTGGATCCAATATCTTTATCTCCATGAAGCTCTCCTTTCCCTCTTTCTTTTAAAATATTTCCCACTAGTTTCCTTTCTAGTTTGCTACCAAATAAAAAGGTTGCATCCGGTTTCATCTGTAGGACAGAAAGAGAATCATTTTGCATGCTTTTTTCTAAGACACAGTTGTCCATACCTCCCACTTTCCCATCATCTCTCAAATAAGCCTAAATGCCATGCTAAAAGGACAGGACTGGATACATAAAACAAGGGAAACTAGGGATAAAGTCAAAGAAGAATGGCAGTTTCCACCAAATAAACCCAACATTGTGAGAGCACACACACACACATGGCTAGCACTTATTCTGTGCAACACTAATTAAGACTTAAAAGAGACTTGTTTTGAAGTAGCAATTAGAAAAATCCTATATTAAGGGAGTCATCTCAAAAGTCATTGAAGAGAAAGAGTAACTGACAGAAGTGAAAATATATTCTTAAATCCTCTATTTGCTGCATTATTAATTTACCACAAATTACAAAATGCCTGCTTTTATATTTTTATAGTTTTATATGTAAGGCATTCAAGTGTTTCTATAGGAACAAACCAGCCAATAACTTAGGAAAGTAAATTTTGAAAGAGAGACAGAAATCCCTGCAGCTGGGGAGTCTGAGGCAGGAGGATGGCAAGTTCAAAGCTAGCCTCAGCAACTTAGTGAGGCCCTAAGCCACTTCAGAAGACCTCATTTCAAACTAAAAAGGGCTGGGGATATGGCTCAGTGGTTAAGCACCCCTGGGTTCAATCCCCAGTACCAATAAAACAGATTTTAGTGACAAGTATTGCCAGAGAGAACAAGCCCTCTGCATCTGCCACCTTCAGTTCTAACCCCTTTCACGCCTACTTCCCAATCTCTTTTCAGCATTCACTACTCCCCACTTTATAGCCCCAAATCACAACTCCCAGAATTCTTCACATCTAAAGTAAAGCAGATCAGCGAAGTCACTTAACACTAACACAGACCCAATTCCTATGGGTCTGAAAGGAAAAGGACCCACAGAAATTAGTCCTGGAGGGAGAATTCACAGTATCTGGATAAAGGAGATATTTTCCTTCTTTGGGACTTTTCCAAGGACCCTGAGGTCCAAGTGCAGCCAGTGGCTTTTCTACCTCTGGGTAAGGACAGTGTTGCTGCCCCAAACCGGATCTTAATTTCACTAGCATTTTTAGGCCTTCTATCTTTTCCTGTGCGCATACTGCTCAGCAATCAGACTTACAGCACAAGTGCTCTCTAAAACAGCATCCATTACCTGTGCAAACTGTTTCCAAGCACTGGATGATGTCAGCTTGCCGGTTCCAGGCCTGTGCATAGCAGCCAGAGTATAAATTTCTGCAGTGATTTTTTGCTTGGACCTCAGAAGAGCCAGCGTGGTCTTGGTGTTCAAACCTGATGGGTTTGGGTTGCAGGAACTAATGCACCATGAAGCATAAACTGAGGATTTGAAAGTGGCCTGTTGCACAAAATTGGGTTTTGTATAATTCAAGAAGCACCAACTCACAGTAGTAGTTGTCCGCAGACTGGGAAACTGAAGAATCTGCTGGAAATCTGCCACATCAGTGAAAAGAAGAGTCGAGTTTGCCACGTTTCCACTGGGACCAGAGCCCATGTGGACCAGCATGCCAACAGGTAGCTTCTGGCCCTTCCCTTCCTCTTCCTGCTGACTGTCTCCGGTTGGCAGTGAAGAACTCTGAGGACTCATGCTCATGTCCGATGCGGTCTCATCAATGTCTAATTCATCTGAAGAATCTCTGCTTTCTGAAGGCCCGCTGGACTTCTGCCCAGGAGCGGAGGCCCTGGAACCAGAGAGCATCTCCCTGCTGGGCGGGAATGGCTCCCTTGAGGGGCCACCAACAGCTGGATGGTCTTGAGATGAAGAGGGCGACAGAGAGGAGAAGGACGATGACCTCGACTGGGAGCCGTCCTTTGGCTCAGAAGCACACCCTTGCCGGACCAACTGGGGCTTCTGGGGGCGGGAGAGGTCCTTCTTGATGTCTGAGTTGGTCAACTCCACAGCACTGAGCTCCTCCACTATCTGCCCATACATCTTTTCTTCTTTGACCCGTTTCTGCTGCTTCGTTTCCATGAAGAGCTCCAAGCTGCTGGCTGGAGAGAGCATCCGCTTGCTGCCTCCAAGGGAGGAGGCGCTGTCTGAGGTGGAAGGTAAACACAAGGGGATGGAAGATTCTAAGCCAAGGGGCAAGGTCTGAGGTACTTTCCAAAGGGGGTATTTTTCCAAGTCCACATGCTGCCCAAGCACCTGGGCAATATTGAACCCTATCCCTTGCATGGCTGCATTGGTTACCAGTGTTCTTTGGGTCATATTCTCATCAACTTTGCATATGACAATTGCAGGGCTGTTCTGCCCAAGGATCTGAGAAATGCTTGTGTACATGACACTTCCATAGGACGGAACGTGGGTCTGGATCCGAACAGGAACCACTGTGCCTGGTAGGGATTGCAAAGGACCAGTATTTGCCGACCCGAAATCTTCCTGAAGAACCTGTTCAGAGGGAGTATCACTTGACTTACTGCTCGGGTCCGAAGGAAACTTTGGAGGAAGGTTCTTGGAGTGTAGCCCTGATGTTCCTGAATAACAAGGGTAAGTTTGCTCTTTTGTGTGTGTATAGTCAGCAGACTTCTTCCCAGTGTGTTCAGCAACGTGCTCTAAGGGATAGTTAGAATGAATTTCTGCCTGGAAAGAAGGTTTGCTGTAGCTCTTCTGAGGATGAGGAGCAAAGGGATGGGGGAAATGTGCCTGCCACCAGGGATGTTGCTGAGCCGGTAAATGAACCATACAGACGGTGGGGTACTGAAACTGAAACAAGGCATTCTGGATCGGAGAAAATGGAATAGTCTCTTGATGTGGAAATAAGTGTGGCTGTTCAGGCAAGTGCTTGCTTGTCATGTAGGATGTAGGCTGAATCAAGGGGTTTCTCAAAGATTCCTGACTGTCCATGTGCATGATCTGTTGTTGGGCCAGGTGGAGTGGTCCTGAGCTCAACTGGGCACAAGGACCCACCACCTGCTTCCCTGGGTCATCTGGTGGAAGAGGCGGAAGCACAGAGGATGGCACGTGGTGCCATGCGGCCCTGAGGCCAGCGTGCAGCTGCTCCATCTGCTCCTGTTTGACACTTGGGTCCACACCGGCCTCACCTTGGGCGATTTCTGGGGAGCCACTGAAGGAAGCCTGCCGCACCAAAAAGCATTTCTTCCTCTCCCGGGAGGGGGATAAGGTTGAGGCTGATGTTCCCGCCACAGGGGCATGGGACAGATTCCCATAATCAAATGATTTACTCCGAACCTCTGGGACTTCCGTTGGGTGAGGACAAGGCATCTGTTCTGAGGAGCAGCGTCGCATCTCTTTCTGGTGGTGATGGCCTGGAACAGACAATGAGTAAGAACCAGCAGGGACGGTCAAAAACTCGGAATGCTTCCCAAACTCATCCTGCTTGGGAGGGGCAGTAAACTTAACGGATTCCTCTCTTTCGAAGGACATGGAAAAACTAGAGCTGTGGGACAAGTTGCTTTCTTGACTGGGGCTGCGAGAGAGGCCGGTGCCTGTGGATTCAAAGCTGGACTCTCCGGAGGAGTGCTCCATATCTGCCAGTCGCAGACGCTTCTTTTTGGGTGGCAACTTCTCCGCAGGGAGCTGAGAAAGGGTCTCGCTTCTCTGGGGCCACTGGAATTCCTCCACTGGCTTTTCCGGCTCTTTACTCTGGGCTTCTTTCTCCTTCTCTGGTTTATCAGGCTCCTCGGTGACTCGAATCTCAGGGACCTGGATGTTGTGCTGGCGAACCAACCGAGGCTGTGCGTGATAGGACGGCTGTGGTACCTGTGGGGTCGGGGCTGGCTTCCCCCCGCTTTCTGCATTATACCCAGGGGGTGCCCACTCTGGGCTCACGGGGGCTTCCGGAACCTCACTGTCACATGTCTCGGATGGGGAAGAGGCTTTGTCCTGTGTACAAGTCCCAAGTTCAGCTGACTCGGACCTTTCAAAGGAATTGGGCCGGCTCAGGGAGTTCGTGTGCTGAATCACGGAAATCACATTGCCAGGCGGTTTCCTGCCCCCTGGGTCTGACATCTTGTCAGGATCAGTGGCTGAAAGGGAATCCTCTGATCCCAGGGAGGGACTTCCAGAGTGCAGTTGGGGTCGACCCGGGTCAAAGCGCTCAGGGTGACCGAGTGAAGGGTTCTCGAGTCCAGCCATGGGAAATCCGCTCCTCACTCCCTCCTGCATGTGCAGTTTGGGGTCATATTCTGAAGCCATGATGCTCATGGGAGTACTGACGACACTGCTGCAAATCATGGGGGTGTCCTCCTCATCTCCTACACTCTTCTCTTTCCGACGTTTTCTGTTTTCACATGTGGTTCCAAACATGGTTGGCACTCCCTGCACTGGCACCGAGGAATCCATAAAATATTCTCCATGTTTTAAAGAACTGAAGCAGGAAATGTCCCTGTAGCTTTGCTTTGGTGTTTCAGGGTCTTCCCACTTCTTATAGGGTTTCCGGCAGGTATCATAGTCATACCCAACCCTGTCCCCAGGAACCAGTTTCTTTTCCTTGAGGGATGAGCTGGTGAGACTCTTGGACACCCTGCCAGGGTGCTCGGCCTCCATGTGCCCTTCCTGGACTGATGGCAGCTCGAACGCCGCTTGTCTTCTTAGCATGCGCTGAGGGGGTATGCCCACAGTGCCCGGGTAGAACACATCGTCAGACCCTGTCATCCTTTCATCAAATGAGTGGCTTCCTCTCAAAGAAGGAGGAATACTTAAATTAGTTGCTGAAGAAGTTGGCATCGAGTTGCTTCTAATAAGTGGGGAAGAGTCTATAGGAGCTTCTAAGAGAACCGGGTTGCTGACTGGGAAATTTGCAGGATACAGTTTTCCTTCATTCCTTACCGATGACGGAATAGTGTGGGGTAGCCTGGACTCGCTGTTGAATTTCGTGGACTTCAGCAGGCTTGTTTGACTGGGTTCCACTTCCCCCTTGCTGGGGATCAGCTGCGAGACTGGATCTTCAAACATCTTGACGTCTAACCTGGTGTTTACATGAGGTAATGGTTCCATGATGCCCTTCCGTCCCATGGTGGCACGCTCCTGACCTGTGGGTGTAACACTGAGTGTATTCCTCGGACTAAGCCGACAGTATTTTCCAAAGATGATTTCTTCATAAGACTTTGCATTGGTGTTGGGAGGGCTTATTTGCTGCTCTGCACTTTCTGAGCGAGAAAAGTAACCTGAATCAGTGCTTCCTTTACTGTGCGGGCTCAGAAGGTTGAGAGATGGCTCAGAATCTTGTCCTTTTTTCTCTGACAGTCTTAGTGCAAGTTTCTGTTTAACTGTATGAGAGTCATCAGCCTTAGTATTTAAAGATGGGTTTGGTAGCATATCAGAGCCAATATACTGAGAGCTTTCGTTAGGTAGCGGAATTCCACTTTTGGGGATAATCAAAATCGGCACCTTCATTGGACCTCCCAAGGACTCTTCTAGGGACCCGTGGTAGCCACCTCTGCTAGCAATATCCAGTGGGATGGGTGGGCCGGGGCTCATTTTGTCAGAAGTCTCAGCAAACAAAGAGCTCTCCTCATCTGTGTCTGTACTCTGTTCACCATCCGAATGTATTTCTGCTTCTACATCAATAAAACCAGCCTCCAAGTCCAATTTAGAGACAGCTGACTCTGTGAAAGGTACTAATCCTGCCTTAATTGCATGGGCATGTGACTTCCTGTGCTTGTACAAATTGCTCTTTGTCTTGAAAGAGAAACCACAAGGTATACATGGATATGGCCGCTCACCAGTGTGGGACCTGATGTGTTTTTTCAGAACGCTTGGTTTGGCACATGCTCTGCTGCAGTAAGGGCAAATGTATTTGCCGGGCTTTTTGGGTTTGTGCTCTTTCTTGTGAGCATCTTCTGCCTGTTCGAGACTTTTCTGGGAGTATTGGCTATAAGCAGGGTTCAGGCTTGAAATCTTTTTTCTAGGAAAACCACCACTGTGGCCATGTATAGGAAAAGGAAATAAGTCCTCGGAGGCGACCGATGGCAAAGGGCCAGGGAAAAGCCAGGGAGGGCCTTCTAGGCTCTGGTGTGGCTTGCCGCTGTGCATGACCCCCTGTGGCAATGAGTGCTGAGGGAAAGACAGTGAATGTTGGCATGAGTAGAGACTTGGACGGTGCGGTGGGTATTGCTTCTCTGTGACTTGCTGCACTGATTCGCTGGGTGAGGCCAGCTTCCCAGAACCAAACAGCTGTGCTGATGCTGTGTTTCCAATCTGCTCAGGATCAATTTGTGGTTGCCGCTGTCCTTCTTGACTGCCAAAAGTGCTCATCTTAATAATAGCCGATTGTTCCTGTCTCCATCTACCTGATGATGCTTTATCAGTTTCTCCAGACCTTGAGGTAGCTTTTTGTCCTAGAGCTGTGTCCCCAGTGTCCATTTTGTTGTGCCAAGTCTTAAGTGCTAGTTTGCCTGAAAGCCGTGCAGACTCATGGAGTGTCTCAATGCTGTGCTTTTTAAAGCTTGGGCGCTCCCATGTTCCAGAGTGTCTGCAAGCTTGCTGACTGCCCCTTCTCTTTGGAACCTCCCACACCTACACCGTAGTCAATAGGCATCAGATGGGTATGTCCTTGTACCAGGCTATAACACAGTTCTCTCCATCATAGAAACGTCCATCCAAAAGCTAAGTGCAAATCTACAAAGATTTCTTATGGCATCTGAATGTTTTCAACTAGGATGATGAATAGTCTGGAAGAAATTTTGCCCATCAACTATAGCAAAGTTCAATTGCCAGTTTCTCTAAGATAAAATGGCCTGAAGGGAAAAAGAGAGAGAGAGAGAGAGAGAGAGAGAGAGAGAGAGAGAGAGAGAGAGATTGTTATAACAACCATCAAATAAGAAACCAAAACCAATCATCAATAATCATCCTGAAAGTAGACAAATTAAAAATGTTATTCATTCCAATGAATTAATTTTTATAGCTGTTACACTAATTTCACAATTAAAGGATGTTAATTTCAAATTTAGCATTATGTCATGAGCATTCATCTCTCTCTCATGTTTGAATTTTGGTCACCCTTTTATAAATGCTCCTTAAATTTACTTAGAATGAAGAATGGCAGTGTAGCTCAGTGGTACAGTGTGTGATTAGCATGCAAGAGGTCTGGGTTCAATCAATAGAAGAGAAAGAAAGAAAATAACATTTGAAGGCAAACACACACACATATATATATATATATATATATATATATATATATATATATTTTTTTTTTTTTTTAATTTTAGTTGTGGATGAACACAATACCTTTATTTTATTTATTTATTTGTATGTGGTGCTGAGAATTGAACGCAGTACCTCACATGTGCAAGGCAAGAGCTCCACCACTGAGCTATAACTCTTTATAGCTTTTATTTATGAAATTATAAGATTTTTTAAGTTTCATTAAAAATTTTACACTACTCCTAACCAAGTTTTAAGACTTGCATGAGAAAGTGTATTACCTATCTCTAAAAAAAGATCTATTTTATAGTTTATTATAAAAATATACTTGTATGTAATATATTCCATAATATATAGCACATATTAACCTAAAATGTATAATCATAAATATACAAAACCTGTTTTATGGTTTTATAAAATATATTAGTATAAAATATCCTATGTGCCATATTAATATAACATACCTATATGACATAATAACACGGGTTAGTAGGGCTAGATCAAGGATGGAAGAATCAAAGATTACCGCAGAACTCTGGAAAAGGCAGAGGAGTGCATCTAAACAAAACAATCATAAAACCTTCATAAAATGGAAAGCAAAGCCTATTTTGGGGACAGTTTAAAGACTGAAATGATTACCTGAATAGTTTAGAGTTCTCATGGGCATGATTGTCCTGATGCTTCCTGGGAACAAAATAAACGCAGTTAGAAAAAATTGTTTTATTACACCATGATATTGCTATATGCAAATACAAACTCCAATTTCCAGTTCATTATGTAAAAGACTCACAATATTATGTGCCCTAAAACAAAAACCAGGGACTGTTTTAGATGCACCATCTTGGAACAATAAGCTCATATTCAGCAAGAAAAGTAACCACAATCAGTGCTTTTTTCACTGTGGACTCAGAATCTTATCCAAAGAGAAAAAATAATTAAAAAGCCATAGTATTCTATACCAATGGTGAATTATCTGAAATAGAAATCAAGAACTAGGAATAAATTTAACCAAAGAGGTGAAAGCTCTCTACAATAAATATTATAAAATGTAAAATGTGGATGAAGGAAATTAAAAAAGAGATACAAAAACTTGGAAAGATAGTCCATGTTCATGGATTGGAAGAATCAATAGTATTAAACTGAACATACTACTCAAAGCAGTCTGCAGGTGCAATGCAGTCCCTATTGTTCTGTGACATTCTTCACAGAAACAGAAAAAGTAAACCTAAAGTTTATAGTTTATATGGAAACACAAAAAGACAGAATAGCTAAAAGCCATTTTGAGCAAAAGGAACAAGGCAAAGTGGCAAATACTATTTGAGTTCAAAATATATGATAAAGCTGTGGGTTGTTAAAGCAGAATAGTATTAGTAGGCATGCAACACAGAGACCAATGAAGAGAAAGGGGAGCCCAGAAGTGAACCCACACATCAATAGCACATAAATTTTTGGAGTTTTTTTTTTTTTTTCCCAGGGGGAGGATGCCAGGGATTGAACTGAGGGGAACTTGATCACTGAGCCGACTCCCAGCCCTATTTTGTATTTTATTTAGGGACAAGGTCTCACTGCCTCGCTAAGTTGCTAAGGCTGGCTTTGAACTCACGATCCTCCTGCTTCATCCTCCCTAGCCAAGGAATAGGGTTTCAACAAAGGTCTTAAGAATACACAAGGGAAAAAGGATGGTCTTTTTAATACATGGTGCTGGATAAACTTGATATCCATGGGCAGAAGAATGGATCTAGACTACTACCTCTCACCAGTTGTAAAAATCAATTCAAAATGACTTAAACATAAGACCTGAAGTTATGAAAATACTGAAGGGAAATATCAGGGAAGTACTTCAAGACACTGGAATGGACAAGACTTTTTTGGAGAAGGATGCCAAAAGCAAAAAAAAAAAAAAAAAAAGGCAAAAATAGGTTAATGGGATTGTATCAAATTAAAAAGCTTCTGCACAATGAAGGAAACAGAGTGAAGATACATTTACGAAGTGGGAAAATGTGTTTTCAAACAGTACACCTGACAAGGATGACTTCCAGTCTAGATAAGGAAGTCCAAAATATCCATAGGGGAAAAACAATCCAACTAAAAAGTGGAAAAGCCATACAAATAGCCAACAGGTATATGAAAAATGCTCGACGTGACTAACCATCAGGAAATTTAAAATACAAAACACAATGAGAACACCTCAACCCAGCAAGAATGTCTACTATTAAAAAAAAAAAAACAAAAAAGATAACAAGTGTTGATGAGGATGTAGGGAAAAAGGAAGCCCTTGCACACTATTGGTAGGAACGCTAATTAGTAAGAGTATGGAGTTCCTCAAAAAATGAAAGTAAAACTACCATATGATTGAACAACACCAATACAGGGTGTATATATATATATATATATATATATATATATATATATATATATATCCAAAGGAAATGAAATCAGTATATCAAAGAAACATCTGCACTTCCAGGTTCACTACAACCCTATTTACAACAGCCAAAAAATAGAAACAGAGTGTTTACCAACTGGTGAATATAAAAAAAAACAAAAAACTGTGGTACACAATGGAATAGTACATAGCCAAAAAAGGAATGGAATTTTGTCCCTGCTGCATCATGAATGGAACTGGAGATTACTATAGTAAATGAAATAAGCCAAACACAGAAAGAAAAGTACCACATGATCTCACTCATACGTGGAAAGTAAAAACATGTATCTCACAGAAGTCAAGAGTAGAATGGTGGTTAACAGGGGCTGGGGAGAAAAGGGCAAGGTGATCAGTGACTATTAACACAGGATACAAGGAAGAAATTTTGTATGCTTTTGTATAGTAGGGTGACTATACATGACGATGAAGTACTGCATATTTCAAAAAGCTATTAGAGAGGATTTTGAAAGTTTTCATTATAGAGAACTGGCACATGTTTAACCTGATTGCAACGTTACACATGTATATACACACTGAAACATTGCATACTACTCCATTAATATGTAGAATTCTTGTTTTATGTGTCAATTAAAAACAAAATTAACTGAGAAATTTTAAAAGTCACAGAAATTGCTTCTAAGATATAAGACTATCAAAAGATCTTTTTTTTTTCCCAAATGTGATTTGCCTAGTTCTAATTCTCTAGATATTAAAAAGTTGAGAGTAAAAACTGGTTAATAAAAGGATGCCACCATGCAGACTCAGTGCAGATCCCCAAACTACAGTCAAGACTTGCTCTTATTTCCATGGCAGGTTTGCTCCCTAACATAGCATGACAGTGAGGGAGGCGAAAGCAATGGGCATTCCCACAGGAACCCTGAGTCTTCTGGGTGAGAAATCAGTAGCTCCCAGATATCTGTGGCAAGACATCTGTAAGCAAAAGTTCCCTCTGCTAGGACCTACGAGGCACAATAGATTGTAGAGCAGTTGTTGAAAAAATAAAATCACAAACAATTAACTTTAATTTGCTAAAGTTTCACTACTGGAGTTTTAGATTTTCCCCAATAGAGACTTTTCCCAGCATGCCTCTGGTTGAAAAGTGATGGCCTCTTAATATTCCAGTGCAAATTTAGTCTGTCAACTCCAGAAACAAAGTAACAAGGAAAAAGACAATACTGAGCCTAATGTGGTGGAATTTGTGTTTAATTAACTAAATATATAGAGTTCACATGGACATGATTTCTGCTGGACTTTTGGAGGTGAATAACACCCTTTAAAGTGGAAGGAGTATATTCCTGATTAAAAACAAAACAAAACAAACAAAAAAACCCCCTGAGTTCTCAGTTAGGACTCGGGTCTTGAACACAATAATTTCTAAGTTACTTTTCAGATTTACTATTTTATTCCCATATTGATCTGGGTATGCAGTTTAAGTGCTCATGAAAGCCAAGATCACTCATTGGAAAATTCAAAATTTTAAATGCTCTGAAATCTGAAACTCTGAGAATCAACATGATGCCTTGTCAATGATTCCCCACCGGTGGGAAATTCCACATCTGACCTCATGGGACAGGTTGCAGCCAAAACACAGACACAATAAAAATATTATATAAAATTGGCCCCAAAGGGCTGGGCACAGTGGTGCATGCCATAATCCCAGTGGCTCAAGAGGCTGAGGCAGGAGGATTGCAAGCTCAAAGCCAGCCTCAGAAAGTTAGTGAGGCTCTGAACAACTTAGCAAGACCCTATCTAAAAATAAATAGTAAATAATGATTTTGAGAAAAGGCTGGGTATGTTATCTAACTGGGTAAGTGCCCCTGGGTTTAATCCATGGTACAAAAAAAAAAAATACCCCAAGGTATGTGTATAGGCTGTATATGAAACATAAATGAATTTCATGTTTAAACTTGGGTCTCTTTTCTGAGATATAACATATATACAAATATTCCAGAATCTGAAAAATTCAAAATCCAAAACACTCTGGTTCCAAGAATATCTGGTGAGGGGCACCCAACCCATGGTAATAATAATGGCTATTATGTGCTATACATTTGCTCTGTGTAAACACTTGGTCCTCAACACAGTCCTGGGTGAGAGGTATCATTGCATCCAAGTGACCCTTGAGGATGATGCTTGGGGAGGCTGTGTCAGAACCAGAAATTAACCCAAGTGGGGCTGATCTCTGAGCCTAGGAAGTCTCATCTCCATCCTCCCCTGTCTCATGACAACTTAAAATAATACATCTTCAATCATATTGTCCTAGAGATAATTTCATTTAATGTCAACATTTGAAATGCCTTGACTTTTAAGGTGCTGAGGATTGCGTAAGAATTCTGGAGTGGCCTCCAAATGCCACTTCCTAGAAATCAAAAAAGTTCATGATTTAAATAATGTTCAAAGCATATGTGCATAAGGAAAGCACCAACTGGGCAACTCCTTGTGAGCAAATGATAAATTCTCATAAGAAACTGTTTTCCTTTGGTTGAAAATCACCAGGCATGGTGGTATAGTAGCTGGTAATCCCACCTACTAGGGAAGCTGAGTTATGAGGATTGCAGACTCAAGGCCAGCCTGGGCAACTTAGCAAGACCCTGTCTCTTAATTTCAAAAAAATTAAAAATAAGGGCTAGAGATGATGTATCTCAGTGTTAGAATGACCCTGGACTCAATCCCTAGGCCTGAAATATATATGTATATGTGTGTATATATATATATATATATATATCCCATTTCCTATCTTTTGGTTGACACTATGTATAATTTTGTTTAGAGAAACTTCAAGTTAAATAAGGGCATAGAATTTTATTTTAAAACAAGACTAGAATAACATATTGAATAAATGGTTAAACAGAATATAATGTTTTCATTTAGCTATGCGGTAATACCTTTATAAATCAGATGTTTTAATTTATGTGTTACAGTAATAAACTAAATCCATTACACCACAGACTGAACACACACACTTCTCACCCACTGAGTAACAAAGATGCACCAAATAAAATTCCAAGACAACAATATCTTCCTGTCAGAGAATGGACCAGTAAATGAAGAAAACTGACTTATGTGACTTTCAAAAGCAAATATCTACTTGTCAGAACAAAACTTATCTAGAACATTAAGCTAATTTTTGTTGGCTTTAAGTTTTAGAAGAAGGCTAATCAGAAAAAGCCCTATGCAATGTTTTCTTAAAAACCAGTTTTCTAAGATGAACATAAGATTGTCTTATACCATAACAGCATTGATTATCTAGAAAACCTGTAAGATTCAAAATTGAATCCTTGTTAAAAATAAGTAAATAAATAAAACTCAGTTATGCAAAAGCTTTTGTCAGGAAATCCTCTTCCTTTGAAATTGAAGTCAAGTAGAATTTCTAAGAAAAGTCTACCTGTGATGTCCTACCACTGACTCGGGAAACTAGATGACATTGCAGACAGTGATTCCTCCTCCTGGGTCTTTCAGGAATAGCTTTCCATCTGGAGGTCCCACTAGTATGGGAACCCCTGGCATCCACATTCCTCTGAAAGCAGCCTCTAAGAATCATGCTAGGGAGCAGGATATCATTTTCACTTCACATGAACCATTTACATTAGATTTTAAATATATTCAAATATGCATTTTTCTCAGTAACACTACCATTGGGGAACCTTCACCTAAATGCTACCCATAAAAACCACTTCCTTCCTTGGAGTTTCAGAGACATATAGAGAAAGGTATGTGGGAGAGAAAATGAGTTGATGGGTCCTTTTGGGAATTTACTGAACCTATTCATGAACCACTAAAAATGTGGACTATTTCTATTAATCACTTATCTACAGTTGCTTTATCTTGGAAACTGAAAAAAATATCTGCAATAGAAATCATGTGCGTCATAGATCTATTACTGTGTATGACGTGTCTCTTTCTTTAAACCCAGGCAGGATTGGGGCATGTTCAAGTGTCTCTGCTGCTCTCCTCAATTTAAAAGAAAAGAAATTCACCGTGAAAACATAAGGCTTTCGAAGTTTAATCTCAGATTTGACAATAATGTCTTTTTTTTTTGCTAAGTGACACTTTTACTAAGTTACCTAATTCTTCTAAAAATGACAAGAAAGAGTTTGTGCTTTATTATTAAAATGTACTAAAATACTTATAGATGGGAAAACATTTTTATAAGTGGATTAGAGAAGAAATTCTACATTAAATGGATCACTGAGGAAATATTTTCATGGTCCTCAGGATATTATTACAAATCACCAAATAAACCACTGTATATTCCACAATTTTAATTTTCTCAATATACATCTACTTTCTGCAGTAATGTGGTTAATTACACCTAAGTTATTTCTCTATGATCACATCAACTCAATTCATTTTTCAGATTCTCAGTATGTTAAAAGCAAATCCCGTTTTTTTTTTTTTCCAATCGACTTATATGTTTAAAAGATGGAATATGAGAGCAATTCTCATGTGAAAAGGAGTTATCATTTTATTCACTGGGATTTCTTTTTATGGTAATCAAACCCACGCAAAGTCATTTTTGGCACCCATTGCCAGCAAAGGAGCAGTATTCCAAACACAGCTTCACATTCACATTAAAATTTTTCCCTAATATTTTTGAGTGCTAAGAGGATATAACTCAGGGCGATGACTTTTGGGTTTCCCACGGATGGTGCTACAGCCCATGGGTGTCTTGCAGTGGTGAAGTCAGGCAATGTCTAGCAGTCTCCCCATGTTTCTCAGAGGTCAGTACTCTTGAAAAAGATCTAGTTCAGGGGTAATAAAATTCAAGGACTGGAGCAGAAGAAAAGGAAATTATCCTTCATGGAAGAACTGCCTATTTCTAAAAGGGAGCCCTCTCCTTTGACCACTCTTGACAGTACCACTCAAATAAATATGGTACCCAGCTAAATCATGTGCTCGGAGAGGTGCCAGAAGGGAAGGCCCAGGAGCAGCCTCCTGCAGGGATCTCCCTCAAGGTCTCTTCAGGATAGCAGCTGGGTGGGACTGGCAGTGAGGCAGGTTTGCTCTGCAGGCAAATAAAGATCCACAGTATCCAGGGTTGTCAATCTGGGATCTTTTGCTTAGAAAAACACTATCTCGGGGGGGGGGGGGGGGGGGAAAGCCTTTACCACAGGAAATTAATCATTACTTGACTGGTGGCAAAAGTCAAGGGAGCATTAAATAATAACATCTTAAATAATAATGGAATAAAGCCACTGGTGAACTTGCCTTCCTTCCTTGCGATATTTGAATAATAAGGCATTTCTTGAAATTAAAATGGTTGTTTGGTCAGTTATTAAGAATTTGGTATATTACAAACAAAATATATGTCTTATGATAATATGTATCAAAAGACATTTTGATATATTCTTTCCAATGACCTATGGGTCAGTTATAAAATTTTTTTAAGAGAGAGATAATTTTTTAATATTTATTTTTTAGTTTTCAGTGGACACAACATCTTTATTTTATTTTTATGTGGTGCTGAGGATCAAACCCAGTGCCCCGCACATGCCAGGCGAGTGCGGTACCGCTTGAGCCACATCCCCAGCCCAGTTATAAAATTTTTTTTATGGACCTGTACTTTTTATGAGAATCAAATCCAGTGCCTCACACATTCTAGGCAAGTACCCTACAGCTGAGCCATAACCCCAGCTCAGTTATAAAATATTTTGAGAAGAACAGGAGTGTGTCAGGATATCTCTGGCTCAATACTAAGAGCCCCACCACTCACTGGGACATGCAGGCCCACCACTGCCCAGAGCACACGGGCTCAGAGGACACCGGATAACGGAAAAAGGACCTTACCAAAAAAGTGTGCCTGGTGCCAGCATTCAACTGAATACAGACTTATTTCCACAGGATGATTTTTAAAAGGCACCTTCCTGAGAGCCAAATTCATTATAAATGCTTCTTTTAATAAAAATCCCCCTTAACAACCTCAGTTCTTCCTAAAACGAGCAAGTTGCCAATAGGAGAATAAATACTGTCTATTATGTGAAACTCTGCCAAACAGTTCCGAGAACTTTTAGAGAAAAGCACAAACACTGTGATGATCATCCTCTAATGTGACATACTCAAAATCTAATTTGATATTTAAAGCCTAATGGAACACTGAACTGTATTTTTCCACGTGGGCTGCGATTCGGACATCATTACTGAGCTTTGTAGAGTTTGCAAATTTAATCAAGACATTTATGACATTTTGATTATAACATGCTGCTTTTAATATTTCGTCATAAATTTCTTTATAACTTTTTACAACTGATTGCACTTTTCTCGGGGCCTATTTTCCCATCATATCCAAAGTTATTATGGTAAGGATTACTTAGGATTTACTAAGCAGAATTTCACATGGAAATAAACTCTGCCAGAAAGAAATGTTCTCCAATGACAGAAGGTTAAGAACGTTCTGATTAAAACTGTTCTATTGTGAAAAACAAAGTAAAACCAAACTTTCACGTTTTCCTCTCTAAATAGAACATGCACTATTTCCTCCCTGATTCGGTGACAAAATCAGTTTATATGAGTTCATGGTACAGCAAAACTGCCTTAAGTTAAATGTAAAAACAACAGAAAAAAAAAAAAACAATGAATTTTAGTTATTAACCTGTTATCCTCATATCAATAAACTGCATCACAACCGTCTTTGATTTCCAAGATGTCAACTCTCTCCATGGAACAAATGCACAACTTCTGGGGATCTGAAGGGTGAATAAGAAGATTTAAATGATGATGACACTTGTAATGAATTTATCAGGCAAGCTTACTCTTCACCCCCCAAAACCGCCTGCCTTTAGGAAAGAAAATTTGGGACTATATCTCCCAAGCATGTTTTTTTTTTTCCCCAAGGAAAAATTTCCTTTCTTTTAACATACTGTAAATGTTTTGCATAAATAGTTGTATTAAAGGGGAATTTCCTGTAACAGCAAGAATGGATACAATGATAAAAATAATGCTGGAGTTAAAACTTAATGTCTTGGAACTAGAAATTATACCACTGCTGTCCCTGCTCACTCTTCTACCTGCATAGCTTCTTCTGGAGCATCAGCAACAAAACTTCACAGTAAGATTCTCAGAATACCTTGTAGTAAATTCTTTTTTTTTTTCAACAGTTATGTTTTATGCTAAAATTAATTTCTTAATGAAAAGTCCAAAACTAACTAAAGTAAAATCCTGAATCTCCACAAACTGTTAACTAATGAAGAGAAGGGCTTTCTCATATCTGGAATTAATATTCATCTATGTCTAATGCAAAGAAGTGCACTGAAGATCAAATTACTTAATCCAAGTAGTTTAATCAATCAACCATCTGAAGACGACTTAGTTCTTAATTTAAAGCCCCCCCAATAAAACAGTACTATGCTACCCCTAAACAGGTTTATTGTATATTTGTTGTTTTTAAAAGATATTGCTTCTGATTCCTGACAAGTTATTTCCAAAACCCTTGTCAGAAGAACTAAAGTATTAAGATGTGCCTTCCCTTAGGATCACTTCAGAGAGGCATTTGAAGTGCTAAAAGGAAGTATTTTGTTTTCATATTCCTCCTCTTCTCTACACATCCCTGAAGTAGGGCTTTGGGACACCCTGTGCACTTGGAGACATGAATCATGTAGGCCCACTCGGTTCCTCAAAAGACACAAAAGGAGCCAAAATAGCTTCTGCAATTGAAGCAAGAATCACGTCAGCAACCAGATGAATGTGGGTGGTCAGATAAGATTCTGTTACTGCAAAGGGCAAATTATTAAGCAAATGCTCGGTTTATTTTCTTTTTAAAACTTTGTTCTTCTTGCCTCAAAACAGCCATTTACTAGCAGTTACGGAGACACCTGACAAGCTCCACTCTTCTCCAAATTAAAAGTTCCATTAACACCAAAGAACATGGTGGAGGAATAGTAATGGTCTCCAATAAAAAGGATACGAAGTTGTCTAAGATAATTAGCTGCTTTTGTATTTTAACACAGCAAATATCTCTTTTTTAAAAAATAAAGTAAAAGTGCTTCTAGAGGAAAAATTAAAACTGCACCTTGGTAATATCACCTAAGCTAAGTAAGACATGTCATCCTTCAAAATCAATCAATCAATCAATCACTGAGCTATTTTGCATTCCAAACAAAATTCCCACAAGACATAAATGGGCCAAGAATATAAAGAAACAGCTATTGATAAGGGGAAAAAACCTTGCAGTATGCAATGACTGCATATGACTGGTAATCCCATAGTCATTGAACTAGGCGGCAAGAAGGGAAAAAAACACTTAATTCTCAATTAGGTCAGTACAAAGAGTAGATGAACATTCCTGCCAATAGCCTCCACGGACCAGGGTGCAGGACACCCCTGCCACACCAGCTGAGACTGGGGCAATGTTTGCAGTTCTCACTCTTCATTTCCAGTCTTACTTTCTTGGACAATGGCTACTGGAAATGGGAACAACTCCTTTCATGACATTCTCGTACCTCTGAAATTTTAGATTATTGGAGACTCCCCTTTTCGCCCAATAAAAGAATTTTGAAAGTTGTTCAACAGACTTAAATTTGCATGGCTTAAAATCTGTGACCTCTTAATAAAGTCTGATTTTGTTGTGAAAAATAAAAAAGTATCAATAATAATGTCATGCATATCTTTTACTTTATAGTAGCTTCCACAGAATTAGTGTGATTTTTTAAAGCAAAGGTCCTTCTCCTAAAATTATGATCTATATTTGTTGGCAATAGAAGGTACTTATATTGCTTGAGCGGTTGCCCAGTGAAACTTTAGCTTCTTGCAAGATTCACCTAAGAGGCATATTAAGCCATTAAGTCATAACTTGTTTTAAAATAATATGGAATAGCAGACGATGGAGATGAACAATCCTACCAACAAAGATATTTTTAATCATCTATCTTCTACCGATTATTTGATCTGACTCTTGATTAGCTTAGTGATAACAACCCATGAATATCCAATAATAAATATCTAATGCCAAGGTTATTAGTTAGGGTTTCCTCTCTGTGACCAAAATAAACATGACTTAGAGGAGGAAGGGTTTATTTTGAGCTTAGAGTTTCAGAGGTTGGATCCATCATCTGATGACTCCATGGTGAAGCATCACTGTGGAAGGGCTCAGCTCATGGCAGTCAGGAAGCAGAGGGAGGATGGGAGGATCCAGGGACAGAGTGTATCATTCCCAAAGGCATGCCTCCCCCACTTCACTCCCCACTTCTCCAGACACACGTTACCTACCCACATTTATACTTTAGATGAGAATTGTCACAATAAAAAATTATTCTTTGCATAAGAAAAAACAATAAACCGGACTTGGAAAGAAGTCATGACACCCATGTGTCTCAGTTAAGGGCAGTGGTGAGCATAACATGTTTGAAAGAGTGGATGATGCTCTTGGGCCATTAGAGAAGGGACATTGCACTTTAGTTTCATAGTGGAGAGCAGAGAAGATTCAAAAGTAGTGGCTAAAGATGGAAGAAGTGCACTAAAAGAGAAATGGATGTTGAAGACACACACCATCAATTTCACAAGCCTTTTGTAGAGACACATCTTTCCCTCTATCAAAACGATAGCAACCAAAAAAGGTCTAATGGCCCATTGTTCTACTTTGCAATGACAAGACTGGCCAAGTAAGAGGAGACTGAAGGTGCTAGAGAGGGCAGGTGAGGACAGGCTTGTACAGGAAGCATGCACACACACACGCACACACACACACTCAGACCAATGTGATGACAACAATGTGATGATCATATCTTTATAAAGAGTTTCAATATGAAGAGAGGACTTGGGGATGGGGTTGGAATGTACAGAAGAAGAGAAAAGGTTAAAGAGATATGAATAGGGAAGGGGGAAAGTGGGGACTTTGGAACATGGGATAGTTTATTACTGAGACAGAGCAGAAGGGTTGGAATAGTCGAGATGGTACATGGGAAGAGGGTCTCCCCTTGAGTTTTCACAAGAGGAGGCTGGGCAAATGAATGCACACTAGGGAACTCTGCCATTGTGTGTGGGGTTCTGCTTCTAGAAATGGCAACAGACACATGTTTGGAAATATCATAATGTCTCCCATAAACATGTACAATCGTCTGTTAATTTAACAAATTTTAGAAGCTGGAGGTGTAGCTCAGTGGTTCAGTGTTCACCTAGCCTCCATAGGGCCCTGGGTTTGATCCCCAGAACCACAAAAACCATTTTTTCAAATGATTCCTTTGGTCTACTGCTGTTTTTTCTAGAACACAGAAAAGACAAAGTACTGGATAATTTAAAACTACTAAAAACAACATAAAAGCAAGTACATGTACACTACTGATTGTTACCCAAGCTTCCTTAATTAGGGTTATGACTATTTTATGACACTTTTAGATATTTATTGAATGCCTACTACATGCTGGAAAACAGGCTAAATTTACAAAATACAAGAAAGGAAAAGTCAAGCACAGTATTTAAGAGTTAAGAGTGAGACTTGTGTGAATAAATAAGGTCAACAAGGTGTTTTGACATGCATATAAACATAGCACAAGGCAGGATCCTACCTACAGAGTTAGAAAAGGCTTTACGAATGCAGTTACACTGAGCCAAATTTCTAAAGAAAACTACACACACTAATATCCAAAATTAGACAGCTTTCGACATTAGCTATAGAGATAAATATACTGTCAGATGAAATAAATGTATAAGGCTGTCATTTGGTTTCTCTATAGTGGTATCTACTTTATTTTCATGTGCTGGAACACTGGGTTCTTCAGGATGCTTGAAAGTAAGGTGTTCTAGTTAATCCAACTTTAAGGTTAGGTAAAGACCAGGAAGACAATAGTTTTTGCTTTACATCTGCTAGTGATTATATGTTCAAAAGTACATTAGCCATCTACTTGAGTTAATCACAGCCCACTGAACATAACGTGATCTTTCTTTGATGATTCGGGATTGTATAGTGCCCTCCAGCCCCATTCTGCATCCTGGCTGTGCTCTCCTGGTCTTGGCAATGCCAGCTCTCTCCACATGTGTCCTCAGACACATGCCATGTTTCCCAAGATCAGAGTTATTACTGAGGTTTGGTTTCTTGAACACATATTTGGCATCAAATAAGTCATATATCAAGCTAATTTGTTTTGGAAGCAAATAAATAACTATGAACTTCAGTCACCATTTAATTTTTTGAGTTTATTATAAATTAGAGGGAGTATTTCATAACTGTGAAAGAATTTAAAAATGGAATTCTGCTAATGATGAAAAAGGTGAGAACCAGAGAAGTCAAATGCTTGCTTAGGGACCCATAGCACATCAGGATAGTTCTGGACCATAGCTTAGGTCTTCAATCTTCTAAGTCAGTTCTTTTCCTCTGTTCATGCTACTTCCTCTTATTAACATTTATAAGTCTGGTCCTATCCCAGAAACGAACTGCATGAGTAAAAGAATGAAACCTGAAGAATAAATAACCTTGAACTTTTAATAAATAAAGACATTTATAACGATGGCAAAACACTAATGCTCCCTTGAATTATTTACCATTTTTTACAGAAGATAAATATGAATTAAATGAAAACTTCATGTTCTTTCCAAAATAAATGAATGTTAGCAAAATTTGGTGTCAAATAATCCAAGTTTTCAAATGGTACATTAGTTAGTATTCCCCAAACAAAGCAATGACTTAATACATGAACAATTTTTAGCATCAGATGTTTTTTGTTATCAAGATTCTTATGCTCTTATAATAATAACA